TGTTAATTTTGCAATAAGTGCATCTATATCATGATAGTCGTGACATTCAATTTAGGTATAACCCTTGGCTACAAAATGAGCTTTATATCACTCAATTGTGCCATCTACCTGATGTTTTAATTTGTAAACCCATTTGGATCTGATGGGCTTCTTGCCAAGAGGAAGATCAACATTTGTCCACGTATGGTTATATTATAGAGCAACAATTTCATCATCCATTACTTTACACCAATTGGTATCCTTGACAGCTTGGAAATAAGATGTTGGTTCCAAGGCAAAGAAGATGTAGCATTTAGAGTAGTCAAGGAAGTAGGAATGTTGCAAATATAATCCTTTAGGTGCACAAGCTATCATCTGTCAACATGAGTGTTATGGGCAGGATTGGTTTTAGGTGGATTGGATTATTGATGTCGGTGGGTTCCTCACCTGAATGTCCAATTGAATTATTGATGTCGGTGAGGGAGGTGCTAACAGGATCCATGATACGGCCAGCATCAACAACATGATGGTGGGTTATTGGGACAATAAATGGATTATCATTTTGTAGTAAAGGAATGACAATGTCCATTTTTTTTCCAATGGTGTTATGTGTTGCTATTCAAAAGGGAATATGTCTTCATAGAATAGCACATCATGAGATGTAAAGAACCGGCCAGTTTCAAGGTTGTACACCATGTATCCCTTTTGACCATAAGGGTAAGCTACTCATATGCAACAAGAAGCTCATGGGGGGAAATTTGTCTTTCTTGGGAGGTTGTTCTTGGGCATAACATAAACACCCTGTGCAAAAATGTTCATGACTAGGAGGTTTGTCAAATAACATCTCATAGGGTGATTTTCCTTGCAAGGGAACTGCATGTAAGTAGTTGATGATGTATGCTGCAGTTAGAGTGCACTCTCCCCAAAATGATAACGTTAGGGAAGCTTGGAATCTCAATGATCTAGCCACCTCGAAGAGATGTCTATGTTTCTTCTCAACAATGCCATTTTGCTAAGGGGAATCTACACATGAACACTGATACATGATATCATTATTCATGAAATAGGACTGCATGGGCCCATATAGAAATTCTTTACCATTGTTAGATCTTACTGTACAAACAATTGTATTAGATTGTGTATGTACCATATTATAAAATGAGACAAAGAAAGAGTACGTGTTTAATTTGTGTTTCATGAGAAAGACCCAAGTTGCATAGTTATAATCATTAACAATGGATAGGAAGAAACAAGCACTATCATGTGTTGAATATGGTAGGAACCCCAAATATCACAACGAATCAGATTAAATGGAGCAGATGCTCGAGACATAAATATTGGAAATGAACTGTGAGTGTGCTTGGCCCATTCACAAATGTCACAAACATGTTTTGGTGGAGTGATATTGTAATCAAATAGAAGAGATAACTGCCTTGACAGGTAGTATCACCGTCTACATTAGTGATTGAGAGAGATATAGAAGGACGTGTAGGCTGAAGGTAGTAGATTCCATTGATCAGCATTCCTTTGCTAATCACAATCATGAATGTCGGGTCCTGAATTACACGTGAAGTAGGAGAGAAAATAATAATGCAATGTAATTGTGTGGTGAGTCTGCTTATGGACAACAAGTTGAATCGAAAACTAGGAATGTATAGCACATCATGAATAAGAATTTTTGGGCTTATCATGACTAAGCCTTTATGAGTGGCAAACAAAACTGAACTATTTGGCAAGTTTATTAGTAAAGGAGAAGGCAACGGTTCATGATGAAGAAATAAAGATTTCATTGGGGCTATATCATCAGATGCCCCACTATCAAGAACCCAATTAGAAGAACCAACTGTAGCTGAAAAAGCCTTACTAGACACATTCAAAGCACAGATGGGTTGTGTGTCAATGTTCACTAAGCGAAGGAGTTGGTTATATTCATCAGGTGTAAGAGATATTGGTGAGGCTTGGGAAGGCTTGGGAAGGCTTGGGAAGGGCCACTAGTTGTAGTAGTAGCAATCTGTAATCCACTAGTAGAGTCAACATTTGTCTTGGTTCCATAACCTAGCTTCCATTTTTTCCAACCTTCAAGATATCCAATCAATTCATAGCACCTATCCTTAAAGTGACCTTGATGCTTATAGTGTTTGCATTGTATTCTGGGTTGAGAGTTGGAAGCTCAATCACTAGATCTGGAAATAGTTAGGGCAGCAACATCCAGAGGAGAGGTGGTCTTTTGATACATCAGAATTTGATGTTTCTCATCTTGAACTATGAGCACATAGGCTCGATTAATGGTAGGAAGTGGATATGTGGCCAGAATGGTGGATCTGTGGCCAGAATGGTGGATCTAACATTATTGAAAACATCATTCAAATCCACCAAGAATTGGATAATTGGTAGAGTCTGTCTGTCTGCCTCTCTCTCTCTCTCTCTCTCTCTCTCTCTCTGCTATTATTTCTTTAATCACATTGCAATTAATCCCACAATCACAGTTAGGAATGGACAACAGATTACCCAGCTCATCCCAGAGACCTTTCAGCTTTGTGAAATAGGAAGCAACTAGGAGATCTCCTTGGTTTAGGTTGGAGAGATCTCGCTTGAGTTTATTCTTGCAACTTATCCTTGAGAGAAGCATTCTTCAAGTTCTTTCCACATGTCTCTAGCTGATTCTGTGTAGGCGACACTCTCGTGGAGCTCACAAGCCAAAGAGTTGAAGATTCATGCTATCACCATGGAATTAACTTTGATCCATGCCCATTTTTCCATCATAGACAGACTTGGCCTTTGTAGTGAACCATCCACGAGTCTGAATTTGTTTTTTACCCTTAGAGCAATGTGCATCGCATGCTGCCAAATGAAGTAGTTGTCTCCGATGAGTAGGCAAGAAACCAAAACAACTCCAAGGTTATCAGAGGGAGGCAAATAATATAGATTGTCGAAAGTTGTGGCCGTTGTCATGCCAGAACAATAGCTACTTGCCAACGAAAAGGAAACCCAGCCAACGGGAAAGGGGAACTCATGCAGCGGGAAGGGACGAAGCAAATCTTGATTGTTGTCAAGGCTATGATACCATGACAAACACGACTGAGCAAAAACAAAGTATCCAAAAACTCTTTATGTTTTCTGTATTAAATATAAAACAGATTTTCATATTTATAGAAGATGGGGATAGCCGGTGTAAGTCAGTTGGTTGGGATATTGGATCAATCTTGGATCTTTTACAACTGTCTTGCTAGGTCAGCTGGTTTGGTTCTAACCACCTAACTGTTGTGTGTCCACACTAATATTTTGAGTATTTTCTCTTAGAGTTTCAAGGAATCTCATCCATAGAAAAATGATGGAAAACCTAACTTTATTCTCCATATCATCTCCAATTTTGAAAATTAAAACTTGTTAAAATACCTTTAATTTCCAGATGCAAGAACTCTTTAATCAGGACACTTTATTTAAACTACTGATTAATTTTCTTCAAATATGTGGTGGAGGTTGTTGTAAACTTGACGATTCAAATATGTGAAAAAGTCTAATTTCCCCCCAAAAATCTCTAAATTGAAAATTAGCTTCATTCTCCATTTTCTTGATCTGACAACTCTATTGTTCCCATGAACAAAGATGATCATGTTTCAGTTCAGCTACTGGGATTTGAGTTTCAGGATGGAAAAAGTAGTGAGAGATACCAATAAAGTGTGCTTTACCTATGAAATAATGGGATTTATTGTGTTTGGTTCTCCGAAGATGGAAAAAACGATCATGCTTTGATTCTCTGTGGAAATGGAGTTTTATAATAAATTTGTGGTAGATGGTAAAATGTGATTATTTTGAACCCATACAGGATAGGCAAGTAAAAAACCCTAAGGGTGCTTTGTAAATAAAACCCGAGTGGATTCCTTTCAGTCTTCACAAAATTTGTCCTCACGCTGTCATCCCAACAATTGCGGCCCACTATTTGGATCATCTCCTGGTGAATGAAAAAAATAAAAGTGCAAAGATGTTCTAAATGCATGACTTTAAGTGTTGTGAGAACAAATTTTGTGAGGATTGAATCCATCTCCTACTTCTACATTACATTGTTCTTTAGGGTCAAATATGTCATTTTATACTTCTATTTAACTAAACCAGCGGTAAATAAGCTATTTCAAAGTAGAGGGAGTATTTTAGTAAAATGCAACCTATAGAAAAATTCCTTATCAATACTTATACTTTGGCTCGAGTGACAATTTGGTCATTGCACATTAAAATGTAACGTACAATTCAGTACCTGTCATTAACCGGTCCGTTAATCACTTGTTAAGTGACATTTGAAAAGTCAAAAATGCTTTAAGAATTTCATCTAATTCTCTTTATCAACCATCCAAACATTGACAATAAAATGAACAATTCCAAATTCTAGATTCTTTTAAACACTGACCAATTTTTTGAATAAAAGAGTCTAGGATTTGGGATTGTTTAGTTTTTTTGTCAACATTTGGATGATTGATAAGGAGAATTAGATGGCATTCAAAAGGTACTTTTGACTTTTCAAATGTCACTTAGCGATTGATTAACGGATTGATTAATGACAGGTACTGAATTGTCACATTTTGAAAGTTCAAGTATTGAAGTGTCACATTTTGAAAGTTTAAGTATTGAATTATGACATTTTAAAATTTAAGAACTAAATTGTCACTCAAACCAAAGTACAAGGTACTGATCGAGAATTTTCCCTAAATCTTAATAATTACATTAAACCATTTGAGGACCAAATTATGGCTCAAACCAAAGTACAAGGTACTGATTGAGAATTGTCTAAAGAAATGACCCCTCATATTAAAATGCAAACTATAGACAAATAAATGATCGGACGTTGACAGTTGATGTACACTATACCATCGGCAGTAGTACACACCATCATTATTGACTAATTACCCATTAGATTTATTTATTAATCTTAAGACGATTTAAGTATCTTCTCATCATAAAATAAAGAAGGGAGGAAAGGATTAGTTTATGTGGAATAAAGAAAAGGAAAGATATTCCTTAGTGTGATTCTGAGGCATCTTCTTAAAAAACTCTCAAAAAAGCAGCCATGCACAAACAACCCCCTTGCAGAATTATGTTCAAATACTCAACATGCATATAATTAAGACATAAAAAAATAAATTATTAAGTAATTTGAACAGAATCCTCCTCCTTCTCCATCGATCTTCTTCTTCTTGGGTTTAATCTAGTCTTCAAATGTGGCTTCCATTTCTAGTTTTCCACTTTTTGCACTTGGACTGCAATTCTGGCAGATGCTGTAGAGAGGTTTGATCACATGTTTCCTCTTGATTGCGTAGTCTTCCTTACATTGATCTTTATTAATTAATTATGTGCTGCCTCTGCGTGCATATATGCAATATGTGTAGTGAAACCACAAATCTAAATCTAAATGGTTATTCTGTTGCATGGGGGATGTGTTGTTCAAATTCAAGCGCTGTAAAATTTGATGCAATTCTCTAACAACTCAAGGTTGTTGCCAGGGATGTCTTTGACCCTTGACCCGTTCTTGTATATCTTGAAGCTTGGTACTGCACTCACGCCCTCTGATTTTTTCAAGTAAGGATGGTCCTCTACCTCTACCTGCAAATGCAACCCACATTTATTTTTGTTAATTAAAATTATCTCTTTATTTATTTATTATCTTATCTTAATTCACATGTAATTATTATTGACCTCATCGGGTTGACATGTCATTCCTCCATCAACATGCAACACCAATCTGGTGGTGGTTGGGGATGTTTAAGTAGGTCCCACTACTTATCCGAGACCGAGTTGATTAATGGGTCTCTTGTGTCTCATCTCACGCGCGTTGCGAGAGCACGACCACGACTGGGTCAGAATTCAGAAAAAGCTCACTGGCCTACAGCCCTAAACTGCTCCTATGTCTATGGTCTTGAGCGCTGACGCGCGAAAGCCGTTGCGCGGTAGCGCAGGTCCATTGGTCCCCTCTCCATCTTATTTCTTAACCCCTCCCCTTAACTAAACCAGCTTTTAAAAAATCCAGTTTCCACTATCCAATACGAAAATGACAACAACGTTTGTTTGAGAGAGAGAGAGACCTTTAGGAAGTTGACAGATGGATATCTTTTGCACAGTTGCTGCATAAACTCAAATGCTGGCTTGTCGCTGGATTTGTTGCAGAAAAGCACGACCGACATTCCTGCAAAATAAAATATGATCATGGATTTTTCAGTAATTTGACCACCACATCACCTATATTTACCATGCTGTTACCTAAATTCTCGCACCAAAGCTGAAAAAGGGAAGGGAATATATTTTTTTATCTTCTTCTACTTCTACCACTGTGAAAGTGAAACAATCCACTGACTCGGATACGTACCACCCACAACACAACCCACTGACTCGGCTCTCACGAGTCATGACCCGTCGGATTTTTTATGTGGGTCTGGCAGTGAAATCCAATTTTCCGAATTCGAATCCGACTGACTGAGGTCGGAATCAGATTTCAAAATCAGGACAACGGGTTCAACGTAATAAACAATCCCATTATCTATTTGACACTAGGCAGTTCATACCACGGACAGAGACTACGCATATCAAAATCTGACCCGATAAGGAAACATGAAGAGATCCAATGGTTCTTGACATCTTGTCCATGCCTTTTGATGAAGGGCGATTTGGCCCGACCTAGTAAAAAGGAGACATGTGGATGCGATTTGATTAAGATGACAATTCAGCTTGACACGCCTAGTCCGTAACAGATCGAGTTTGGATATTCAACCACCTCGGAACAAGGTCACCTCGGGATCACTTCGGTACAAGATCGCAACATGATCACTTCAACCCCAAGGCACTTCAACATTTAATCCAGTTCGGAACTAAAAAGCATCAGATCGGGGATACCGATTCAAACCACTACGTGATGATCCCGAAAATCCCTCCAACGGATTCCGAACCTCACGGGATCACGCCACGTAACGGCAAGCCTTATCTCCTCCCCGCCCAGTTTAGGCGGAATTAATAAACGTTATCAATTGACAACGTTATCCCCCAATTAAAGTGGAAACAGATCCCATTGTGATGAAGATCCCGGAACCAATTCGCAAAACCCGCGATGACTCAACTATATAAAGACTCCAACCCCGATGGTTCAAGGTACGCATGATTTCTCTGCTCTCTAGCTCTCTACATTCTTGAAGCTATTTCAGCTCGTAACAGCTTACTAATTTAAGCATCGAAGCGACTTCGCCAGGTTAACCACCCCGGGTTTTCTGATTTTATTTTACAGATCCGCTTAACTCACCGTCCGACTAGAAGCTAGATCATACTCCACAAAGGAGCAATCAGATCGCGCAAAATCACATTTTGTCTGATCAAGGGAAATATGAGATGCACCCATGACCCAACCAAACGAACCTGGGAACGTCTATTACTCACGTGCAAAATGTCGCAACATGCATAGTTAAATTAATAAATATTTTCGGTTACCAGGCGACGTAACGAAGTGTCTGAAACGCTCGTTGTTGGAGACGATGACCACGTCCTCACCAAACTTCATGTCTTTGACATCTTCACCGCGCTGCTTCATGAGCTGCACCTGGGCCTCGAACAAAGCCCGGCCCACCGCTTCGTCTCCTGGCGTTTCTCTTATCAACGTCTCGTAGTCTTGTATTGAGGCCTCCCAACGTTCCAGCTTTGTAATAATTAGTAAACAAAACAAAATTAATTATTTTCAATTCAGCTTGACAGCTTAGCTTAGCTTATCCCCCGTCCGTAATGTCTTATACGCACGTTAGGCTCAGTTTGGAAGGAGTACAAATACAAATATGTACGTAGAGTGCAAAACCTTACACTTTGTATTATTTTGTATGTATTTGTATTGTACATTCCACTCCTTCCAAATTAACTGAGCCTTAGGTTGTTGGTTAGATACTCTTACCTTAGCATTACAGTCAGCTCTCCTTAATATGGCCTTGCTGTAAGAGGGGCGCACGTTTAACGCCTTTGTGCAATCGTCAACGGCTTTCTCGAATTGACCGAGTTTCGATCGACAGGCGGCTCGGTTACAAAGCAAGACCGAGTTGAACGGGTCGTACTCGAGTCCCTCACTGTACGCCATGGACGCCTCTAAGAATTTTGAGTCCTTGAAAAGGTTGTTACCCCTTGATCGGGCCGCGGCCACCGCTCTGGCCTTCTTCACCACCGCACTCACCTCGTTGTTACTCGAGTCGAGTCGAATCGCTCTCTGAGACTCTGCCACCGCGTCATCGAACCTGCCAAGTGCCAACCCATGTATTTTTTAATTTAATTTAATTTATTATATATATAGTAAGATAATTACAAATTAATCCCTAAATAAATAAAAATTAAGTATAAAAAACAAACTTATTTGTTTTCTCTCTACAGTTCTACTTCTTCTACTTATAAAAACTAAAAAAAGGAGGCAGTGCTCCTTTTAAGTTTCACTTTCACGGTCAACAGCTAGGCCACGTCTCTCATATATGGTTCAGTTCAGAGTTCAGACAATAGAATCCGGCAGCACATAGATGATAAAGCTACGGGGCCTCCTTCCATAAAGTTTGTTGACTTTGTAAAACTTGTTACGTTGAGTATAGTTAAAGCAGCCAACCTGCCGACGGACATGTCAACCTGAGCTCGTATTAGCAATAGCTGAGCAGTGACGGAGGGGCCAAAGAACTTGGTGCAGGCCTCCATCTCAAACTCTGGTCCCTTGCTTAACGTGGCATCCGCGTCTTGGTGCCTACACAGTCTCAGCAACGCCTCTGCTTGCAACGCAAATACCTTTTTCTCCACAACAAACCAAACAACCACACAAAGACCCACCACGTAAGTTTACAAACCGCACACAAATTAACCTAACGATCGAGTTTACAAATCGACTAGTTTTGGTGATTGACCTGTGGAGCTGAATCGGCACCAGAGGATATGGTGCACTCAGTTTCCTTCAACAACATCTGCCAGTCCTTTAGCTTGCGAGCTTCGGCCAACTTGTTGAGATGGGTTTGAAGAACTTCGGCTTGAGCAATCTCGTTAGAGTTCGCTTCGGGTCCTGACTGTTTGTAGTGGTTCAAAGCTTTCTCTGCTTCTCCTAATCTATAAGACCAACATGTGAACGTGAATTAATGTAGTTAGAATATTAGTTTTCACCTATTCAAAGATCGATGTAGAGAGGGTAAGGCAGATAGCCTCTTGTAATTTACTAGCTAAGTACCTGAGATACAAAGTTGCTAAACGGTGATGAGCCCTGTGATACGAAGGGTCGATTCTAATGGCTTCTCTGCACTCCAAAGCCGCCTCGATAAGCCGACCCATACCCGTCAATGCAGCACTCTTGTTGCTACGGTAAGAAGCCTTTTCTGGGTCGAGCGCAATGGCTCGATCATACAAGGCCAAGGCCTCTACGAATCTCCCCTTCTTAAACTCCTCGTTGCCCTGCAACTTCAATTCCTCGGGATCTAATCCCTTGGACAGAGTTCGACATAAGGGCTCTGCCTGCTCCTTTGGATGATGGGCCTCTGCCCTTACTATATTACCCATTCCAACGTTGCCACCGTTAACATGTTTGGACGAAGTCTCCCTTGCAGTTTTAGGTAGGTAATCGAGGACGTCCATGGTGGAATCAGGAAGGTTATTTGAATTAGAATTGCCGCTTCCTGACTGCCTCAAGTTACCTAAATGACCGAAGAGCATTACATTGCTTGAAGAAGCTCGAACAAGACCGCTACTTCCCTTGGTTTTCTGGTGATCGGTTATCATGCTATCGAGCTCGCCGGAGATGCTAATGGCCTCCTTGGGTACCTTTCTGCCTTGGCCGACGCCTTGTGTTGGTGACACCTTGGTTATGGTTGCTGTTGTTGCCGATGTTTGGATTGAAGCCATGTTGGATGGGGCGTTTGTCGTGATTATTCCATCTGAAGGTTTTCTGACTTGGTTCTGATGATGGGAAGATGGTACAGATTCTACGACAGGCTTGTCCGGTAGTTTCGACGGAGGTTCGGCCAAATTATTAGAGGAGCCGAGGAAGGTAGATTCATCGGAGTCTCCTCGTCTCCTCTTGGAACAAGTACTACCGTTCTTGTCGCTGGGTGGGGGGAGATCGCATGCACAGGCTGATCTTCTCGACCAGAAGCTCCGGCGTCGGAAGACTCCACTGTATAAGACCATAACACCACAGCCGGGTTTCTTTTCCGGCGAATACTCCGCCATTTCTGTCATGATGGATATCTCCCTTTCCTCTCTTTTTGGATGGTTCTAAAAACAGTGGCGTTTTATAGGAAATTCAAACATTATATGTAAAAAAAAGGGGGCCGGGGAGGGTCGAAAATACGAAAAAATCTAATTAAAAAATTGAATAAAATGACCAAAAACTGCCGGGAAAGCCCATGTCCTCGGCAGCTCTGTTAACATAGAAGGTAAAACAAAAAGTTGAACCATTTGAAGCTTCTCAACAGCAAAAAAGATAAAAAAAAAAGAAAAATTAATGGACCCCACTCAGAAATAAACGAAAATTAAAAGAAGAAGAAGAGGAGGAGGAGAAGGAGAAGAAAGGAGTTAGATTGCTTGAATCAGAAGAAGCCTACCCCAGGAGGTGTGTGCATATTTCATCCCACACAACCTCCTGGAGTGGCTGACAAGAAACCAACTATTCCTCCCTCTTCTTTAATTTTCTTTCCGCCTGGACGATGAGAAGGAAGGAGAGGAGAAAAAATAATCAAAGAAAAGAGAATAACGTTTTATTCAATACCAAAAAAATTTGTTGTTTATTGTAATGTGATTTGTGATTTTGTTGGGACAGGAGTGAGAGTAAGCGGCTGATACGGTCGTTGAAAAAAATTGGATCTCTAGATTTTTAGCAAAAAAGCCAAAAAATTTGGGTCCGGATTTTGTTATTGTTATTGTTATTTTGACTTTTACAGGTAATTAAGAATCATTTGGGATCATCAAAAGTAAGCATCCCACGTAGGATTGCCAGCTGTACCATGGCTCTCTTTCTTTCTCACTCTCATTGAAGCTGTGCATGTGTTAGTTTGCTTTTTACCTTTTATTGCATTTACAGGTTTTACCGTGAAAGAGAGGATGGATGACAAAATTAATAGGAAAATTGAAGCGGAAGAATGAGGAATGACGTTGTGTGAGAAATTGGGGCATCGGGGTCGGGGGGCATATGTGGCGGTGCCGACCTGGCTTCATCTGGAACAGATTAACCGAATTGGGGTGGACTTTCCACGGGATTAATTGGCCGGCACTGAGGGATGATAATTGATAATGAGTACAGTTGGAAGTTGTGAGTTGTTGATGAGAAGATGGTGTTACTGTTCGGGTTAGGATGGAACATGGAATATATGTATCATAATGGTAAGAAATTTATTCTTATTGGGGTCTCGAGGGCCTCACATCATGTATTGATAGAGGTGTAACTCCGGCAGTGTATATATATATAATATTAATAAAATAAATAATTGTGGGTAGCCCGCGTTAAAGGTGGGACGTGCTGTGCTGGCCTGCGGGCCGTCATGGGCTGTGCCGCCTTCCCCGATAGAAATTTTGGGGGTCAGCCCTGCACGGCCCATGGCCTAGGCCCAGGCTGGCCCGTGTTGTGCCAACTCGTGTTGCAGGCCTGGGTCGGGCCAAGCTGCAGGCCGTGCCGTGGGCTTTGGCCGTGCTGGGCTGGGCCACAAGGCAGGCCTTGGGCCTGGGCCAAATCGGGCTGCACTGTATTTTATATTTTTTTATATTTTTTTAATTTTTGATTTCTTTTCTAAGTAAAATTGTAAAACTAAAATATTTAACTTTCCTTTGAACTTTGAGAATTGGGAACTATTTAAAAAGTTAAGAAATGAAAAATCTAAATTATCTAACACATAAATGAAAACAATACTTAACCAAATTGAAATAAGAATGATAGAATAACAAATTGGAAGAAAAATATGAATTTTATTTCAGTTAAATTTGAATGGTACAAATTACAAATACAATGATTTGATCATTGGATACTTGGATGAATGAAATATGAAAATGGAATAAATTAATAAAATATAAAAAATACAATATGGTTACAAATTGAAAATACAAAATTGCATTGTTAAAAAATTAAAAAAATATAAAATAAATTAAATAAAATTAAAAAAAATTACAATAATTTGAAAAAATAAAAAATTCTATACAAGTAGTCAAATTCATGAATCATCATTCATGACTTTCATCATCTGCTTCGGGTGAAATATCTGGTGTAGTATCATGCCCTCCCTTGTCTTGTAATCTATCTTCTACATCTAGCTAATCCTTGAAGCAGATGCACATAACTATGCTCTCATTGTTCATGCAACGTCTTTTGTCATCCAGCACCCTGGTACCTACACTAAAACAAGACTCCAATGGAATTGTAGACACTAGAGGGGTTAGTAGATCATGTGCCATGGTGGTGAGAACTGGATAATTTTTCGAATGTTCACTCCACCAGGCTAAAATATCAAAATTATTTGATCATTCACCTAAATTAGAAAAATTTGCTTGTAAATAAAAATTAAGTTCAATAAATGAACTTGTTGTAGAACTAGCATATTTCTGTCTTCTACTTATTAAATAATAAAAAAAATTCTCTTCTATTACTGGGCTCAAGGTCAGAAGTAGAAGAAGATGATGAACAAGTTGTAGGAATATTTCCTACAACTTTAAATTCATACAAACTGTACATTTTAAATAATAAATTATCAATTTCTTCTTTTTTATTTCCTATATCAATATTCATATTTTCACAATATGATTCAAGTAAAATATCTAAACCATCTTTTCTAATCCCAGGGTCTAATATTGTAGCTAAACAATAAAGGGGAGAAATGTTCTCCCAATATTTTTTAAATTTATTATCCATAATTTCAATAATACATTGAAATTGTGGATTATTTCTATATTTTGCAAAACAATCACTAATTACCATTAATTGATAAGGTAAATTACAACTAGTTGGATAATAAATTCCAGATAATTCATTAGTTGCATCATAAAAATGTTTTAAAAAATCTCTTATACAAATTGTCATTTCCCAGTCTTCCTCAAATATCATATCATTAGCCACTTTTGAATTATAAAAATTAGAAAGAATTTTTTTATGAGATATACAACTTTCTAACGTAGCATAGATAGAATTCCACCTATGCTTTATATCTAATATAAAATGCTTATATTTTAAACCATAATTTTGACATAAATATTTAAATTCTTGTTTTCTTGCCCCTGGACTTTATATATATATAATACAATTTATAATTTTTGAAATATGAGTAGAAATAATATTCAAGGCATCTTGAATACATAAATTTAAGATGTGACGTATACATCTAATATGAAATAATTTACCATTTAAGTATGGTCTTAATTGAGATTTTAGAATATTTATTGCAGAATCATTATTGTTGGCATTATCAAAACTAATAGAAAATAATTTATTTTCTATTCCATAAGCATGCAAAGTATTTAAAATATTTGCAGCAATAGCTAGGCCACTATGTGGCCTTTCAAGCCTAGTAAAACTTAAAATTTTTTTATTCAAAAGCCAATTTTCATCAATGAAATGGCCGGTAACACAAATATAACTAATATTAAATTTGGATGTTCAAACCTCCGAAGTAATTGCAAATTTAGAATTAAGATTTGCTAACAAAGAAATTAAATTTTGTTTATAAGAATAAAAAATTTTTAAAGCATCAGTTCTTATAGTATTCCTAGAAACTTTTTTATATTGTGGGTTTACAGAACTACGCAACCATTTTTCTAGCTTTGAATCTTCAATTAATATAAATGATTGTTCTGCATGTACAATATATTTAGTAAGTTCTTGCCTCATTTTTTCTTGTGAATATTTAAAAGTACCAAAACTACTTCCCCTCCCAATCTGTGTTTTGGTTGTTTCCCTCCCTTCATCTTCTTCTTTCTCATGTGTGAACAGATGTCTGCTCAAATGACCCGTACCACCCTTGCTACAATAACTAAAGTCCTTTCTACATTTTTGGCAAATGACCCTTTTTCCCTTCCCCTCAATATTCTTTACTTTGAAAATTTTCTAAACCGGGCTACTCAGCTTAGAGGCCCTCCTTTTTCCCCTAGTATTAGTAGCGGGGGTGAAAAGCTCCACTTCCATCGACATCAATCGCATCAGTGCTAATACTATCATATGATGCGATTGAATATCATCAATGGTGAACATGTTGGGGAATCGGTTTTTAGAAGAGCCAGTCATTTTTTTTTAATTCTAAAAAGATGAAAATTAATCTAATTCAACTTACCCGGATTGTCGGTTCAAAATCCCAACTTGATTTCAACGGTTGAAGCCTTTCAACATCCAAGCCTCCCAAATTGAGATACTTAACTTGGTTAAGCAAGCCTTCTTTTTGTTGAAAGTCAAAACTTCAATAAAGTTGAGACTTGAGAATTGGAGAATGCAGAATAAGACAATCAACTAATCAAAATTACTCATATTACAGAGAATTGAGAATGTATGAGTATAAGAGAGAAAGAGAAGAAATTAAGATAATTGTTGAATTGGTGTGATGAGAATGGTGGAGGATAGGGCTATTTATAGGAATTGAACATAATTTAATTGCCCAAAATACTCAAAAAACCAGTTGTTATTTAGTTTTTGGGAGGGGTATTTTGGTCATTGTAAAGTTATTTATAACTTTACCCAAAAAGCCCCTTAAACTAGTTGTTATATAGTTGTTGGGGGGCATTTATGTCATTTTTCCAACCCTCCATAAGCAAGATACACAAATACCCCCCTAATATGGTTGTTTATAGCTGTTGGGTGGTATTTCTGTAAAAAAAACCCCCAAAAAGCTGAAACTAACAGTTGGGCCCCAAATCCGGGCGGGCTGCCATGCCATACTGGCCCGTGGTGGGCCATGCTGCGGGCTGGGCAGTGCCGTGTTAGCCCATGGACCTCAAACCCCCGGCCAAATATGGCACGGACCTTCGTGTCGTGCTGACACCTCTATCCATAGCCCAGTTTAATCTAAGAATTGGCCCACAAGCCAATTCAGCCCGTGACACGGCATGAGCAAATACAAACTCAAATCATGGACTATATCAAACCGACCCCCCAAAATATTGTAGAAAGAGAGACACAGCCTGAGACAACCCGCACTTTACGCAAACCACATACAGGCCGTGACATGCCGGCCCAACATGGCCCGTTTTATAGGTATAATAAAATTCAGAACAAGCAGAGGATGTGGGGAAATCCAACTGATGATACATGGAGATTGAGGGACCCATGTCTGTTGGCTGCATTGGATGCATATATTTCCCAATATCTACGTGGTGGATAGGACAGTAAGATGATGATTTAAATGACCAGGATTCTGGGTGTCTTTAACTTGTTTCATCGTCTTTTTGCCGACAAAAGAGAACCTTCTTTCAT